GAAAAGGATGTCGACCTATTTCGGGAATCACCATTAGTCACCCCCTGAGCATACTTGTGGGAGATATACCATTAATTCCCTAATAAGTGAACATTACATTAGGTTTTAAAAATAAAATGCAATCAAACAAATTTTATTCGTCCTAATTAACTAAAGGTAAATTAAGGCTCTCTCTATCTTAAAGTGTCAAATTATGAGAATTAGAGAATATAAAGGCACAAACCTAGAGATGTAGGTTCTAATATTAACCTTATTTGATTTTTAAATCAATTATTGAATCGAATAACCGAGATGTTCCCTTGAGCATTTAGGCAAGGTCCGACTCGAATTATTCCCTAAATCAATAGGACTATATTGAAATCTAGATAAAAGTGGAGGCTCTATTTAACCTATTTGATTATGTCAATCTTAAAGGTCTAATTGAAGTGCAGGGAGTAAAGGGTCAAAGATCTAAAAATTCGAGTTCTAAAAGACTAGAAGTTTAAAGACCTAAATCAATAATTCCTAAGAATTATCTATATTAACCTAAAAAAGGGATTTAAATTAAATCTTATTTTAGAAAATATTGATGATTAACAAGTTTTAAAAAGTCAAGCAATCGATTCAAGTAATCAGGCATCTTATGCGAAAACTCGACTCGAAATGCTCCCTAATTAATAAATATGGTGTCATCCTAATTTCTAAGTCCGATTTGAATTGTTAACCTAATCTAAGAAAAAAATCTAAAGATTGTTTAAAAAAAACTATGAAATATTAAAACAACTAATAAACCTAATAAATTAAGCTAAAAAAACAAAACATAAAAAAATAAACAAAAATACAAGGATCAAATTGCATGAATATCAAATTACTAAGCTAAAAAGATATAAACTAGGCATATGATGAGGACTAAATTAAAACAAATTAAAATTTAATGACTAAATGTAAATAAAAATAAAAAATAGTTTAGGGACTAAAATGCAAAAATTACAGGGACTAAAAGATAATTACCTGTTTTATTTGAGCCTAAAATAATCTACTAAACTAAAATGGAAAAATTACAAAATTAGTCCACACAAATTAAAACAAAATTTAAAAAGTCACTACACATGACCAAAGTGTAAAAACACGCTAAACTTATAAGGACCAAACAGAGAATAACCCAAAAATACAAAGCATGCAAGAAAAGGGAAAATAACAGTTTTAAATCCTACATATGACCAGAATGAAAAAATACGCTAATGTTAGAGGGGCCAAAATATGAATAACCCAAAAATTACAAAGCACACAATGAAAAGGGAAAATAAAAGATTTGGTCCCTACAGGTGACCAAAATGTAAAAACATACTAAACCTAGGGGACCTAAGCATGCTTTTACGCTAAACTATTTCTATATACACCAATTTTTCTATTTTACTTCATTTCAAACCAAAAATTATAAAAAAACCATAAAAAATCAAATGCTCTCCCCTATCCCTCGGTCGGCTTACAGCCGACCTCCTTGGATCCCTCTCTGGCTGCCGTCTGGCCCTATTCTGGTTGCCACACGCGGTAGTCAGAACACCCAAAAGACCCAAAAAAAACCTAGATCTACTAGCCTAGACTCTTTTTAGGGCTAAAATTACAAAAAAAGCCCTAAGATTCTCGAAACTACCCTATACCCTTCGCTTTCTCCAGACACCGACTACTTCCGACGACGCCTCCCCGACTCAGGTAAACTCAAATGTATTATTTTATTTATATTTTTTAGTTTTTTACTACGAAAATGCTTGGGTTTGTTGTTTCGACTAAAAAAGCTATTAATTTTTTACTGTTATTCGAAATCTAAAGTAGGCTTCTACCCATATTTTTACCTTTTTTTAAACGAACTAAAAAAATGTTGGTTTATTCAAAAATTGAAAAAAGCTTTCATTTTTTTACTGAGATTCGGAACTAAGAGTAGTGAAAAACAAAAAAAACTACTCGAAATTAAAAAAAAAGGAAAAATAATAACCTTGATTATGCTATTTATTGCTTCGAAAAACCAGTTATAGAGAAAAAATCGAACCTCTCTAAGTCATTAATGATCGAGTTTTATACCCATTTACAAGGAAAATGCAATGATGATTTTTTGTTTTGTTGTTGGTTGTCTCTGATGCAGTGGCGTGGAGTGGTGGTGGTGGTGGCGTACGTGGAGTGCTCTTCTGGTATTAGGACAGAGAACGATGGCTGTTGATTGGGGGATTTGGGTGGCTACCCTAGGGTTAGGGTTAGACCCAGGTCGGATCTAGTTTGGGCCCCAGGTCGGGTTTAGTATTTAGGTTGGTTTGGGTTGGGCTTGAGGTTGATTTGTAAATGGCGTAATAAAAAATGGCGATTACAACTGCCCTCTTTGCTCATTGTTGTGAAACAAAAATGAAGCAAAGATAATAAAGCGCCATTTTTTGGCTCAATCTCTGTTCTTCAAGCTGCGGGTTCTTCTCATCATGAACTTTCTGCTGGAAATGTTGATCCCTCGAGTAAGGTGTTGCTGATTCGAAATGTCGTGAATCGAGAAAAGGTTGAACAATTTCTTCTCATTACTAACTTCTTTTCCCTCAATCGGATGAGTTCATCTCATTAAGAAATCTTCATTGGAAATGCTAAACCCTAAAGCAAGGCATTACTGATTCAAAAATGTCGTGAATCGAGAAAAGGCTGAACAAGTTCTTCTCATTACAAATTTTTCACCCTCTATCGGATTTATTCTTCTCATTATGAACTCTCTATTGGAAATATTAATCCCTCAAGTGAGGTTTCGCTAATTTCAAATACCATGAATCGAGCAAAGGTTTAACAAGTTATTCTTATTACGAACTTTTTCTTCCTCTATCAGATGAGTTCTTCTCATTACGAACTCTCCATTGGAAATGTTAATCCCTCAAGTGAGGTTTCACTGGTTCAAAATATCGTGAATCGAGTAAAGGTTGAACAAGTTCTTCTCATTACGAACTTCTTCTCCCTCTATCGGATGAGTTCTTATTATTATGAAATCTCCATTGGAAATGTTAATTGGTTTATCATCTCTTTGAAGAGTTTTAAACCTGTAAAAGATTATCATATGTCAATGATTTGTATTTCAAGTACCCGGAGGTATTGACCAGATGGTCTTTAATTTTGCTGTGATCAATTCCTTCAATGGTAAAAGAAAATATGGACTGATTATTTTTTCTCATGAAATCTTTATTGACTCCCTGAATTCCTTTCAGACATTTAAAACTTGATGCAAAATTAATGTGCATGCTCCTATTTTGTAAATGCTTGAATATGCATGATGTGATTTTTGTGTGTTTTGAGTCTTAAGGGCTCGTAAGCCTTTGTTTTACTTTTTTCCTTGTCGAGACGTTGTCTTCGCTAGCTTCTTGTTTGATTCTTAATCCTGAAAGACTAATATCCCAAAATTCTATGCGTATCTACCCAAGAGTAGCATGAGATATGCCTTAGAATAAATTGTGTTATGTCATTTTCATTATTTACTATGCTATTCGGGATGTTGTCGTATCTTATCTCGCCCTTTTGTCAATCACTTGCTTCAATGAGTATAAATATCAACCTGATGGACTACCTTGGATTCCTAGTATTTTATAGGTTAATTAAAAAGTAATACCAAGAAATTACTCGTTTAGAATTTGGATTATGCTAGGCTATTCATGACACGCAGAAATGAATGATTTGAAGATTGAAATGATAATCATGAAATTTATTGATGAAATATAAGTTTTACACAAAGTCATGGCAATCAAAAGAATTGAAAAGAGATTCTAGAAGCAAAAAGAATATGTCATAATGAATTCTAGAACACGTGAAGTCTTTCCCGAATCACTAGTCTTTCGAGAGAGTTTATTTACTGGATGCCTCAACATTAAAATGCATTTGAGCTACTCTATAAGATTTTCAACTCAAATCCTTCATTTAGTCTCAAGATGCCCTTTGCGGGTTTACACCTTGAACCCTCATTTTTTTCTTTTTCTACTACTTTTTTTTCTTTTTCTTTTTTTTTCTTTTATCTTTTGTTTCTTAGGCTTGATATTTCTTGACAGATTGTGCATTTACTGGGTTTTAAACACTTTTTCGTCCATCTATGCCAAAATTAATGCTCATCCAGAGAAGGCCTTTCTGACAACGTATGACCCCTCCCAATTGGCCATCCACTTCCCACGAAAATCTTTCTGGATCGATAAAATCTTTTTAAGTACTAGATCTCCCTCTCGAAACTCTCTTGAGTGCACATTCTTATCGTGGGCTCTCATCATACTCTTTTGGTACATTTGACCATGACATATATCATTCAACATTTTCTCTTCAATAAAATTCAGTTGATCAATGCGAGACTGGATCCATTTTGTTTCATCCAACTCTAGTTCTTTCAATATTCAAAGTGATGGAATTTCAACATCAATGTGTACTACTGCCTCTGTTCCATATACTAGAGAGAAGGGTGTTTCCCCTGTCGATGTACTCAAGGTCGTCCTACATTCATATAGGGCAAAGGGTAATTTCTCATGCCAATCTCATAAGTCTCAGTAGTCTTCGTAATTATCCTTTTTATTTTTTATTCGATGCTTCTACTGCCTCATTCATTTTCGGGCGATAGGTCACGGAGTTGGCATGTTTTATCTTGAATTGCGCATAAAGTTCATCCGTCTTCTTATTATTCAGATTAGTAGCATTATCTATGATGATTCTTTCCGGTAATCCATATCGACATTTATTTCCCTCTTTATAAATTTGTAAACTTTAGATCTCGTGATACTAGAATAGGAAGCAACCTCTACCCACTTTGTGAAATAATCGATTGCCACTAAGATGAATCAATGACCATTTCAAGCTTTTGGTGTGGTTGCACCAATGACGTTCATACCCCACATAAAAAACGGCCAAGGTGAGCTCATGACATGTAAAGGCAAAGGCAGTGCTGGATTTTTATCCGCATATATCTGGAATTTATGGCATATTCTTACGTAATTGATGTAATCTATTTGCATCGTGACCCAATAATATTCTTATCTCATGATCTTTCTGGCCATAGATAAACCATTTGTATGTGTTCCACATGCTCCTCCATGCACCTCTTCAATTACATTTTTTACTTCTTTGGCAATTACACATCTCAATAAAACTTGGTCACTGCCCCTTCTGTATAAGATCTCCCCATCAAGGAAGTATCCAGTTGTCATTCTTCTTATTGTTTTCTTGTCAATTTCAGATGCACCGGGAGAATATGTTAGGTACCTCATATACTGTAGGATATCGTGGTACCATGGATGGCCATCCGTTTCTTCTTCTAGAAGATAAAAATGAGTCGGAGATTCATATACTTGGATCTTTATTGGCATCATGTATGTCCACTTATTAGCTTTAAACATTACCGCCAAGGTAGCCAAAGCATCAGTCATTTGATTATCTTCTTGGAGGAGATACCTGAACGTGACATCCTCAAATTCTTTTATTAGTTCAAGGATCAAATTTTGATATTCGACTAGCTTCGGGTCTTTTGTCTCCCATTTCCTCTTAGTTGGTACACTACTAATGAGGAATCTCCATATACTTTAAGCATTTTGACCTTTCTTTCAATAGTTTCTTTTAACCCTATAATGCACGCTTCTTATTCTACCATGTTGTTGGTGCAAAACAATTATAATCTACTTGTGAAAGGATATAGATATCTTCTGGGGAAATCAACACTGCCCCAATTCCTTTTCCTAGAGTGTTAGAGGCTCTATCAAAGTACAATGTCCAAGATTTGTTCGCCTGGCGCTTTCTTCTTCGGTATAAATGCACATCAAATCCTCGTCTAGGAAATTGAAGTTTAGAGACTCATAATCCTCTGAGACACGACTTGCAAGAAAGTTGGTTGTGACACTCACTTTTATTGTCTTTTGGCTCACTTAGACAATATCAAATTTAGATAACATAATCTACCATCTAGCTAGTATGCCAACCAAAGTAGGGGACTCCATAAAATATTTTAATGGATCCATCCTCGATATCAACCATGTGGTATGGTATAACACCTACTGCCTGAGTCTCCAGGTTGCCCATACTAAGGTACAACACAACTTTTAAATCGATTAGTATCGAGTCTCGCAATCGGTAAACTTCTTGCTCAAGTAATAAATGGATCTTTCTTTTATTCCTGACTCATCATGTTGTCATAGCACGCAATCCATTGAATTCTTGAAAACCGTTAAGTAGAGAATTAACGGCCTTCCAGGTACTAGTTCTACTAGTACGGGTGTATTGGACAAGTATTTCTTGATAATTTCCAGAGTCTCCTAGAATTCGCTATTCCATACCTCAGGATTATTCTTCCTGAGCAATTTAAATATTAGATCGCACTTATCGGTCAACTGAGAAATGAATCGTTAATATAATTTAGTCTTTCCAAGAACCCTCAAACTTCTTTCTATGTACGAGGTACTAAATGCACTTTAATTGCCTTGACCTTATCTAGATCAATCTCGATTACTTTCTGGCTCACCATGAAACCCAGTAGTTTCCCTGATTTTACCCCAAATGTTCATTTGGCTTGATTAAGCTTTAATTGGTACTTCCTTAATCTTTGGAACAATTTTCTCAGATTCTTTAAACTTGGCAATCATGTCATCTATGTATACTTCAATTTCCTTGTGCATCATGTCATGGAAAATAGTTACCATGGTTCTATGATAAGTTGCCCCCGTATTTTTCAAACCAAATGGCATCACCCTATAGCAGAAAGTTCCCCACATGGTTATAAATGTTATTTTCTCCATGTCCTCAAGATTTATTTTGATCTAATTATACTCCTGAGAAGCCATCCATGAAAGAAACTAGGAATGCCCCGCAGTATTATCTACCAGAGTGTCTATATGAGGCAAGGAAAAAATTTCCTTCGGGCTAGCCCTATTAAGGTCTCGATAATCCACGCACATGTGGACCTTCCCATCCTTCTTAGGTACCGAAATTATATTGGCTACCCATTCAGGATATTTCACCTCTCGAAGGGAACCTGCATTGATATGTTTTGTTACTTCCTCTTTGATCTTTAATAACATCTTTGGTTTAATTATCCTAAGTTTCTGTTGAACTGGCTTGCATTATGGTTTAATGGGCAACGTGTGGAATACTATATTAGTGCTCAACCCATGCATATCTTGATACGACCATACGAAGACATCTTTAAACTCTTGGAGCAAACTCATCAAATCTAGCCTTATTCCTGCAGATGGAGTAGTTCCAATTTTTATCTCTCTCTTTACTTCCGTTGTTCCCAAGTTCACGAGCTATGTTTATTCTTTGTGGGGTATAATATGTTTTTCCTCTTTTTCCTTTAATATTAATAGCTCATTAGGAACTCCACAGTCTTCCTCATCTTTGTACTCATTGACTTCTTCCAGACATAATGGTTACTGAAAATCTATCTTGTAACTTCCTCAGGAACATTTATTCTAGTATTATTGTGACATCTGCATAAATTTTTTTCTGGTGTATTGGAACATAAAGAATAAAGAATATGATGTAAAGAATACAATGCAAAATGCGAAGAATGAAAGTGATTGCCATTTAAGAAGAAAATAATCTTTCATTAATCAACTTGATAATCATTGAGTTTTACAAAAAGTTCATTTAGATACTTTCAAGATGCTGACACAAATTATTTATGGGCATTACTTTGGGTTAACTCTAAAAACTACGGGAAGGTCTTCGGCTGTCCAGTTGTTGAGCTTTTCACCGGGGAAGCAATGACGGATTCCAACTAGAAACTTTTCAGGTTGGTTGCCTCTGGTAATCATATTGATTGATAGTTCTTTCAAAGCTTCTCCCATCCATTCCTCTTCTTTCGTCAGGTTCTTAATCCCGATAGCACTTGCCAGCTACTGCTCCACATCGTACACTCCTTCAAATTTGAAAGAGTTCTTTAGAGGAGGGAAAAAAATGAGTTCTCCAGGGATGTCCTTTACTTTTAACATGGTTTTTCTCGCTTCAGCCCTTTTCCTCAACTCTTGGCCGTGTTGCTGGAAGATGGGCTTAAACCGGAGCCCAAAACAATATCTCTTCTATTAGATAGTTATGGGCCATACTAGCCCTTGCAAATTCTTTCCCAGTCCCTTGCCGGTCTTTTCTCATCTTTCCAAGGTTTGCCTCACCGCCATCTTGGTACAATCTGATAGTGCGGAGCATGAAATTTTTCTTTCTTCGTCCACATATGTCATATTAATAAAATCTAAGACCCTGAAGGAGCATTTCAAGGCATCCTCGTTGACGTCAATGTACGGGGCATCGGACGTTATAGAAGTAATGATATCTTGTTTAGTTTTAATGCTGACTAATCTCCCATCAATTAGGAATTTTAACTTTTGGAGTAGAGATGAAGGAACTAGTCCTGTAATATGGATTCAGGGTTTCCCCATGAAGAAGTTATAGGTCCAGTTAACAAGGGTATCTCTATTTTCCCCACTACGTCATTCTAGGTTTCATCCAATGCCCTGATGACATTATGATAAGCTTTCATGTGTGAGATATCTACAGGCATCCTTTCCAGCATAGCCAAAGGCATCACATTTAAAGCAGACCCGTTATCTATTATAACCCCCGATAATATCTCATTATTCTCTCCAAGATCTCATAGTCAGTGAATGTGATATAGTTATCTTCAGCTATACATCCCACGATTCGTGATATTTAAAGCCTTGATGGACCCCATTATTCTCTCCAAGATCTCATCGTCAGTGAATGTGATATAGTTTTCTACAGCTATGCTCCCACGATTCCATCTAACTTATGTGTCAAGATATCCTCAGGGACGAATGTCTGGTTGAGTACTTTTAGCAAGGCATTCCAAAGTACTTCTGAGTTGATTAATAGATCCAATATTGAGATTTTGGCCTACTTCTTCTGAAGTTGTTCCACTATGTTGTATTCACTGTGCTTTAAAAACCTTAGGAATTCACGACCCTGAGCTTCAGTCACTGGCTCATTAATGTTCGGTGAAGGTTCTTCATTGAATATTTTTTGTACTACCACTACCACTGCCTTAGCTTTGGCTTTTGCCTTGTCTGCCTCTATAGACGTCTCAGGTGAATAGCACCTTCCACTCCTCATGAAGTAGCCTACCTCCTTACTTCTTTCGTGAGGGACTTCTTTTCCGCACTTTTCTTCTCAGAAGACCTTGACCCCTCTGGTATAGATACACTAGCTATGTAACTCCTAGGAACCTGCCTTGTGTCCTTAAATGGGAAGAGAGACGGAGTTGTAATCACAACTTTAGGAGTTATTGATGATGAGCTCTCGTTTATGGGTCTAACTATGATGATCACAGGCTTCCTTGTTCCCGGTATCCTATTAGAGCTATCGATCATACATATATACATCTTTCGTGGGTTCTCATCTTTATTGAAGATTTTCACTTCACCGTTGTTCATAATCTCCTAATGTAATCCTTGAAATTCATAGCAATTCTAAATGTTGTGGTCCTCCTTTTGGTGATACTCACAGTATATTTCACGTTCCATCAGTTTCAGCTTGGGATTACTGCTGATCATTCCTAATGTGCGTAGTTGTCTGAACACCAAGCTAAGAGGAGATTTGACTTATGATACATTCCTCTTTATCCTCCTATTCACACTTTCATCAATCATATTGACTCCTTGACCTCTATGATAGGGCATGGGTGAGTGTTCGCAGCTAGTGTTTTGAACTCCAGGTCTCTAATGTTGATGAGATTTTACACAGATATTCGAATATGCTATCAAGAGTGAGGCATAGATTTCTGAATATGACACTGGCACATGTGAGAAAGTCATTCTCGTAATCTCTCTTCTTGGCCCTATATTCTCATTGGCATTTACTTTATCTGCCCTAGGCTGGGTGATCGTGACACTAGCCACAAAGTTTTTGTGATAAGTGTTTGCATGATTCACCTAGTTTTTGTTCCTTTTAAAATAGGGCTTCTTTGACCCTTATTCTCCCTCAATCTTTTCACTCTTAATGGCATTTTCAATCAGTTCTCCTCAAATTACCATGTCAGCAAAATTCTTAGTAGCATTTCCTAACAGATGCTCGAGATACAGTGTTTTCATTGTATTTACGAAAATGATGATACCCTCCTTTTCTAGTAATGGGGGTTGCACCTGTGCTGCCACATCACGCCACCTTTGGGTGTATGCCTAAAGGTTTCATTATTTTGTTTCTCCATGTCTTGTAGTCTCCATCTTTCAGGTACTAAGTCAGTAACGTGGCAGTACTACTCCAAAAATGCCCGGGACAAATCCCTTCATTATTTGACGTGGGATTTGGTTAATTGGTTTTACCACTTTATAGCCGATCCGGTCAAACTAACCCAGAAACAATGTATCAATAGCTTCTCATTTTCAGTATAACCCACCATTCTTCTGTAATTCATAGTGAGGTGAGCAGATGGAAAAGTGGTCTCATCGTACTTTTTGAAGTCCGGTTATTTAAACTTCGAGGGAAGTATAAGATCAGGAACTAAACTTAGCTCCCTTACGTCCGTCCCATAAAAAGGTTCTACTTCTACTGACCTTACTCTTTCCTCTAGACTTTTCAGTTGCTGGGTTATCTCACTATTGGACTTCTTTTTTCCTGCTAATTCATTAAAGTTGGGCGTCAACTCTTCTACGCCTGCTTCAACATGCCTTACCCTAGCAATATGTGGGTAGTTCATTGGGAATGAGGGTTGAGTGTGGTGTTGTTGATTGGTCACGTAGATTACAGAGTGAGTCTCCTATAGAGCTGGAGATCGAACAAAAATATGCATATGTGTAAAATCGAGAGGAAACGAGGGATCCAGTGTAAAACCCAATGGGTGTTGAGGGTCGGATGCATACCCAGCTAGGTACAATGATCCCGATCCAAAACCTGGGGGATGCGAGGGCTGTTGATCGGATGATGTTAGTTGGTAAATTGTGGCTTTTTCATCTGTCAAATTCTTCTTGAATATATCCTCAATCTTCTTAAGTAGATTGAGCTATGAGTTTTCTATTTCTGCTTCTATTTTAATAAATCTTTCTCTCATTTCCTTTTATGCGTCTCTGTGGTCTTGCTCGATTCAGGCTTGTCTCTCTTCCATTTTTTTGGTCGACTTACGAGTTCCATAGGGGTGTGAAGTGTATGCCAATATCACTACAAATGATCGGAAATCATATTTTATTATTTGGTGTCTTATTAAAAGAATGAATTGTTGAAATGCAAGCACTAAGATTTAAACACTAGAAAAACATAAAAACGCAAGTGCAAACGATATTGATACCAAAATAACTCTATTCAAAATGTTCTTAACAACACACAATGCCTAAGCACTTAGGCAAAGAAAGTACATCCACAAGGAACTAAATATAATATATATCTATATCTCCTAATTTTTCAAGCTATATCATCACCTCTATAATGCGTCGCTCTTCTTCAGACTCTAAAATAAAAAAAAAAACTCTTAAGGCCACCGCTTCTTTAGACAACTCAAAGACTTGGCGAGCGACCCCACTGGCCTGATCAACTGCCTTCTCCATGTCTTCATGATGCATTTGAATGGTATCATTAACCTATCGCAATGTAATTCCCAGCTCTTTCTTACTCAACGGACGACTTTCTTCAAGCTGCTTGATTCATTAATGGCATATTTGTATTGTTCCTTCCAACTCAACAATCTTGACCTTTAAAGTTTCATTTTCCTGCCTAGCCATTTCTCGTGCGGATGAGTAAATCAAATCTCCTCCTTCCAACTCAGCTATCATCTTCTTCAACGCCTCATTCTCTCTTCGAATAAAGATACCATTGTTGTTGTAGGGATTCTAAAAAACTTTCTCCAAATTAATCAGTTGTGATTCGAGTTGCTCAATTTATGCTCGTCTCTACTCTAGCTCTTGATTAGCCTCATCCCTTTGTTCTCTCAATCTCTGGACATGTTGCATGGCTCGATTTTTTCCTCCAGTCTTCTTCTCGTGCTTCTCTCCACTCCATTGAGCTTTATCTTTAAAGCCTTAGTACTATGATGCATACCTTTGGCTTTTATGTTCTTCTCCAAATCTCTGAAATCTCAGTCTAGAGCGTCAAAACTCTCTTGGACTTTCTCTTTTTCCTTGGCTAACTGTTTTATCACCCCATCTCGCTTAATTAGCTTGAGCTCCTACATCGTTCATTCATCCCACGTCATTCGGGATCCTTCTTAATCGTTCCTCAATGGTTAACCCGTCTTCCAAATTTGGCTTCAGGGTGTTATCATTGATCCTCCCTGACCTTCAAATATATTATAGGCTAGCGTGAAAGTTGGCTATATCATCTTGAAGTTCATAAAATATGCTTTTGCTAGGCAGTGTAAATATTTGAGATCTGGTCTTGGTAACATGGGGTTGAGAAAGAAAACTCTACCTCCTTTAACCCATGAGTAACTGGTACGAATTATCGGGTACTGAGCTATCGAAATATTATTAAGGGAGTAGAACCAACTGCTCCACATAGTCCATCCAACATAATAAAGTTATCATTGTCGCATCTGTACAGTATGTCTTCTTTGGGCAACCAATATGCTTTCCAGACTATCTTAGTGTCTTTCACATTTCGGAGGGCATCAACCAATTCGTTTCTTTTGCAATATTCCGAGATTTGGCACTTCTCAAGGAAATCCAATAGAGAAAAAATTTGATTGTTGCGTTCGAGCCCAACCCTTTTCAACTATTTAGTAATAACTCCACCACCATACCAGCAATAGTAATGCACAACCGATAATCTGATCTACCCCTAATCGCCTACACGAGTTTAAGGACAAGAAAGTTTTTGTTACGATGGTCGGTGTAGGATTCTCTAGCAATGAATTTGACATAATCAATTACGACAATGTTGAAATGATCTACCTTTCTCGGGAAAACCACCAAACCATACATTGCGAGCACAAAGTGATCTCTTCTCTTATTGGATAGCGTTTGCTCGTAAATCAAACTCTTTAGCTTAGCCTAAGAGATCCCCCTCATCCTGAATATACTCCTCGACCCATTCTTTAGTTTTTCCCGTCATAGTAACCATCTTGGTTGTGAACCCCTTGGGTCAGATCGCCTTGGTGTAAAGTGAGTGTCTTTTGACATTTGGTACGTTCAGTAAAGTAGTATATTCAGCCAAAGCTCGAACCACTACAGCATCGATCGGTACCCTCAACAATTTGACTATATCACCGTATACTTCTCTGAATAACATCTTCTCAATCTCAACCCAACTAGCTCATATTCTTGATAACTCGAACCAATGTTCTTGCTTTACGCTGATAATAACCTTCTCTGACAAAAAAGATTCTTCAGCAGCCGTAATATAACACCTATATACGTATATACGTTTCCGTATATGTATACAAGTGTCAAATTACTTTAAAAACGGTTTACCAATTTTATAAAGTATTTACAATTTTGTTGCAACTTAATTTCCATATAAATAAACATAATAAACAAGTTTTCATTAAAAACAAATTACAAAATGTTATGTTAAATTTAATTACATGCTAAAAGGTTTACAAAAGGATTACTACCGTCCTATTGTTACTGGTGAATGATATCTGCTGCTACGGCTTCTCTCCTTACTTGATTAATTCTGTTGCTACCTACGCGAGGAAATACACACTTTAAGTATATCTTAGTGAGTCATAATATAATAAATAACCTTTGAGTATCCATACATATTATATTCTCCATTTTTCATAATCATTTTTCATGATTCTTTTCTTTTCACTTGTAACCTCCATTTATGTTTATAATACACCATTATGCACTTTAAACTATAACATCTTTTCTATTGATGATGCACCCATATGCATTTCAACTGTAGTATACTTTTTTATTGATAATGTACTCATATACATTTCAACCATGGTATACATTTCTGTTGATAATGTACCCATATACATTTCAACTCTAGCATGCTCTTCTGTTGATAATGCACCCCTATGCATTTCAACTCTAGCATACTTTTCTGTTGATAATACATCCATATGCATTTCAACTCTAGCATACTTTTATGTTGATAATGTACCCATATACATTTCAACTAAAGTATGTTTTTTTGTTGATAGTGTACCCATATACATTTCAAATATGGCATCCATT